GTCTAAGGTGAGGCCAGATGATGCTCACCTGAGGCAGGACTTTTAATTGGGACTTTGTGTTTTTTCCGGCTCTACTCAGAGAGGTTCAAGTTAGAGGACATTTTTCTGGAAAACTTCCCTTCCCTCTTATTTGGACTGCAACAGCATTGTGCTTGTTTGTAATTTTCTCATTTATATTTTTATTCCAGTTCGGTGTCACAAGTGTCGAGGGTTTGGCCACCGACGTGCCGAATGCCCAACGAGACGCGGCCCGGTTGTGCCCCACCAAGAAAAGCAAGCGGCAGATCAAGGAAAAGAAGTGATAGTGAATAACTATCATTTTCACGCCTCTCTTGACAATGTAAGATTTCACTAATAAGTTTAGTCAGTTATCTTACATTGCCAAGAGGTTTATTTTATACTTTAATACTAATAATCAATTAAATAAAAACGTACACGTGATTTATCAGTATTATAAATTTAATGTATATTGTTTCTTTTTTTATTTTTACGTGATCGAAAGGCATTAAATATTTGGAAGAGAAACTTAAAACTTGTCCTTTGCTTACATAGATTTTTCTTTTGTTAAGCCCTGCTAAGTGACTCTTGATGTCATGTCAAGTTCTCCCTTGGTTCCACAAGTAAACAGACACCATGTTGGAATGAGACGATAGTAGTTCATCCCAAGTCACCAAGGGCTTCTTTTGCACTCAACCCTTTAATTATTCTGTTACAATGTTTTATCTGACGGTGAATAGTACCCGTGGGTCTCTACGTAGTTGTTCACTTTTATAACGCAAAGATAAATCAATAGTTTGCCGTCAATGTATGCACATGCATCTGTGTATACAGCGACTTCTGGGGAAATTTCTCATTGCCTGAAAACATTTTTAACGCTAAACTGACTTAAATTCTAAGGGTGTGAGGGATATGCAGACCTTTTCAACAATCAGAACATCACAGTGGTAAAACATAACACCAAAACTTGCAGACTGATAAACTGATATTTTATAGGGAAGGCTACATTCTCTTTTCCAGCAAAATAATCTCCTCAGACTCAGACTCAGACTCAGTGATATTTGCCGATTTTCCATTTTTTTCAACGAATTCTAGAAAAACGGGATAAATTCTACGAATTCATCCGCAAGTGGCCAACACGCTAAGTTCCCATGTGCCATCTTTACTCAGATTTTCCATTTGATCAGCGAATTCTAGAAAAACGGGGTAAATTCTGT